CTGCTCCTCCTCCTCCTCCTCCTCCTCCTCCTCCTCCACCTCCTCTTCATCCCGAACGGCATCTCGGAGCCCAGAATTGCGAGGATGTCTCAGGCGAAACGGGCTGCACCACCTCGCGCGCGGCATCTCGGACCCCAGAGTTGCGAAGATGTCTCGGGCGAAACGTGCTGCGAGGAAGTCTCAGGCGAAACGGGCCGGACCACCTCGAGCGCGGCGTCTCAGAGCTCCGAGTTGCGGGGGCCTCATGGGGCCTCCTGGGGCCTCCTGGTGACCTCCTGGGGCTTCCTCCTGGGCCTCCTGTGGCCTCCTGGACCCCTCCTGAGGCTTCCTGAAGCCTCTTGGGGCTCCCAGGGGGGGATATCTAAGATGTGGCCGCGTGGGCCTCTCAAAATAAGGGGGGGCACAAGAGCAGGAAAAATCAACGAATCGACACCGGATGTGTATTAACTGGACACGTTCTGATGGGGGGCCTCCCGGGGCCTCCTGGGAACCTCCTGGGGATCTCCTGCGGACCCCTGGGGCCTGTCCTGGGCGTCCTGCGGCCTCCTGGAGCTCTCTGGGGCCTCCTGGGGCTCCCAGGCTCCCAGGGGGGATATGTAACATGTGGTCTTCTGGGCCCCCAGGCTGGACCACCTCTTGTGCAGCATCTGAGAGCTCAGAGTTGCGGTTGCGAGGATGTCTCAGGCGAGATGGGCCGGACCACCTGGCGCAGGGCATCTCGGAGCCCAGAGTTGCGAGGATGTCCCCAACGTGACGGGCTGGACCACCTCGCGCGCGGCATCTCGGACCCTAGAGTTGCGACGATGTCTCGGGCGAAACGTGCTGCGAGGAAGTCTCAGGCGAAACGGGCCGGACCACCTCGAGCGCGGCGTCTCAGAGCTCCGAGTTGCGGGGGCCTCCTGGGGCCTCCTGGGGCCTCCTGGTGACCTCCTGGGGCTTCCTCCTGGGCCTCCTGCGGCCTCCTGGACCCCACCTGGGGCTTCCTGAAGCCTCTTGGGGCTCCCAGGGGGGGATATCTAAGATGTGGCCGTCGGGCCCCCCCAAAATGGGGAGGGGAGCAGGAAAAATCAACGAATCGACACCGGATGTGTATTAACTGGACACGTTTTGATGGGGAGCCTCCTGGGGCCTCCTGGGAGCCTCCTGGGAATCTCCTGCGGACCCCTGGGGCCTGTCCTGGGCGTCCTGCGGCCTCCTGGAGCTCTCTTGGGCCTCCTGGGGCTCCCAGGGGGGATATGTAACATGTGGTCTTCTGGGCCCCCAGGGTGGACCACCTCTTGCACGGCATCTAGGAGCTCAGAGTTGCGAGAATGTCTTGTGCGAAACGGGCCGGACCACCTTGCGCACGGCATCTCAGAGCTCAGAGCTGCGAGGATGTCTCAGGCGAGATGGGCCGGACACCACCTCGCGCAGGGCATCTCAGAGCTCAGAAGTTCGAGGATGTCTCAGGCGAAACGGGCTGGACCACCTCGCGCGCGGCATCTCGGACCCTAGAGTTGCGAAGATGTCTCGGGCGAAACGTACTGCGAGGAAGTCTCAGGCGAAACGGGCCGGACCACCTCGAGCGCGGCGTCTCAGAGCTCCGAGTTGCGGGGGCCTCCTGGGGCCTCCTGGGGCCTCCTGGTGACCTCCTGGGGCTTCCTCCTGGGCCTCCTGTGGCCTCCTGGACCCCTCCTGAGGCTTCCTGAAGCCTCTTGGGGCTCCCAGGGGGGGATATCTAAGATGTGGCCGTCGGGGCCCCCCCAAATGGGGAGGGGGGCCACAAGAGCAGGAAAAATCAACGAATCGACACCGGATGTGTATTAATTTGTCACGTTCTGATGGGGGGCCTCCTGGGGCCTCCTGGAAGCCTCCTGGGAATCTCCTGCGGACCCCTGGGGTCTGTCCTGGGCGTCCTACGGCTTCCTGAAGCTCTCTGGGGCCTCCTGGGGCTCCATGGTCCCAGGGGGGATATGTAACATGTGGTTTTCTTGGCCCCCAGGCTGGACCACCTCTTGCGCGCTCAGAGTTGCGAGAATGTCTTGTGCGAAACGGGCCGGACCAACTTGCGCGCGGCATCTCAGAGCTCAAAGTTGCAAGGATGTCTCACGCGAGACGGTCCCGTGTCTCGGGCGAAACGTGCTGCGAGGAAGTCTCAGGCGAAACGGGCCGGACCACCTCGAGCGCGGCGTCTCAGAGCTCCGAGTTGCGGGGGCCTCCTGGGGCCTCCTGGCACCTCCTGGGGACCTCCTGGGGCTTCCTCCTCGGCCTCCTGTGGCCTCCTGGACCCCTCCTGAGGCTTCCTGAAGCCTCTTGGGGCTCCCAGGGGGGGATATCTAACCTGTGGCCGCGTGGGCCTCTCAAAATAAGGGGGGGCACAAGAGCAGGAAAAATCAACGAATCGACACCGGATGTGTATTAACTGGACACGTTCTGATGGGGGGCCTCCTGGGGCCTCCTGGGAGCCTCCTGGGAATCTCCTGCGGACCCCTGGGGCCTGTCCTGGGCGTCCTGCGGCCTCCTGGAGCTCTCTTGGGCCTCCTGGGGCTCCCAGGGAGGATATGTAACATGTGGTCTTCTGGGCCCCCAGGCTGGACCACCTCTTGCGCGGCATCTGGGAGCTCAGAGTTGCGAGAATGTCTTGTGCGAAACGGGCCGGACCACCTTGCGCACGGCATCTCAGAGCTCAGAGCTGCGAGGATGTCTCAGGCGAGATGGGCCGGACCACCTCGCGCAGGGCATCTCAGAGCTCAGAAGTTCGAGGATGTCTCAGGCGGGCTCCCAGGGTCCCAGGGAGGATCTGTAACGTGTGGTCTTCTGGGCCCCCAGGCTGAACCACCTCTTGCGCGGCATCTGGGAGCTCAGAGTTGCGAGAATGTCTTGTGCGAAACAGGCCGGAACACCTTGCGCACGGCATCTCAGAGCTCAGAGTTGCGAGGATGTCTCAGGCGAGACGGGACGGACCACCTCGCGCAGTGCATTTCAGAGCTCAGAAATTCGAGGTCTCAGGCGAAACGGGCCAGACCACCTCTTGCGCGGCATCTCCGAGGTCAGAGTTTCGAGGATGTCTTGTGCGAAACGGGCCGGACCACCTCGCGCACGGCATCTCAGAGCTCAGAGTTGCGAGGATGTCTCAGGCGAAACGGCCCGGACCACCTCTCGCTCGGCACCTCGGGGCTCAGAGTTTCGAGGATGTCTTGTGCGAAACGGGCCGGACCACCTCTCGCGCGGCGTCCCGGAGCGCAATTTGTAGATGATGTCTCAGGCGAAACGGCCAATCCCGACCAACTCAGAAACGAGAGTTGTGAGGATGTCTTAAGCGAAACGGCCCGGACCATGAAATTTGTGCAAGGATGTCTCTGCTCCGACTTCCCTCGGCCGGAGTTAGCTATTATCACAACAGCACCCCGTTCAGCAAGCTGTTTGGGGAAGAATCCTACTAGAGCTGCGTCCAGCTCTCATAGAATCCTACTAGAACTGCGTGCAACTCTAACAGAATCCTACTAGAGTTGCGTCCAGCTTTAATGGGATCCTACTCGAACTGCGTGCAGTTCTGATAAGTTTCTAGTCAAGCTGCGTGCAGCTCTCATCGAATCCTACTCGAGCTGCGTCCAGTTCGAATACAACCTACTCGAACTGGACCGCCTCTCATAATATCTTGCAGGAGTTGCGTGCAGCTCTACCAAGACCCTACTCGAGCTGCGTGCATCGCAGCTCTCATATAATCCTACTAGAGCTGCGTGCAGCTCTGATAGAATCCTTTTGGAGCTCCGTCCAGCTGTACTGAAATCCTATCAGAGCCGCGTCGAACTCTCATTGAATCCGACTAAAGCTGCGTCCACCTCTGCTAGAATCCTACTAGACCTGCGCCCAGCTCGGATTGGATATTACTACAACTGCGTGCAACTCTATTAGAATCCTACTATAGTTGCGTCCAGTTCTCATATAATCCGACTCGTACTGCGTTCAGCTCTAGTAAAATCCTATTACAGCTGCGTGCAGGGAATCCTACTAGAGCTGCGTGGGGCTGCGTGCAGCTCTGATAGAGTCCTACTAGAGCTGCGTCCAGCTCTAACATAATTGCGCTAGAACTGCGCGCAGCTCTAACCAAATCCATCTGGAGCTGCTCGCAACTATCATATAATCCTACTCGAGATGCGTCCGGCTCTAATCGAATCCCACTAGAGCTGCGTCCAGCGCTAATGGAATCCTAGTCGAGCTGCGTGCAGCTTTAACATAATCCTACTAGAGTTGCGCCCACGACCTGATAGAATCCTACTCGAGCTGCGCCCAGCTCTAATGGAAATGTATTCCAGGCGCGCGCAACTCTAATCGGATCCATTTGGAACTGCGCCCAACTCTAATAGAATCCTACTAGAGTTGCGTGCAAGCCTACTACAATTGAATCAGAGCTGCGTCCAACACTAATAAAATCCGACTAAAGCTGCGTGCAGCTCGAATCTAATGCTGCTAGAGCTGCGTGCAACTCAAATGAAATCCTACTCGAGCTGCGTGCAGCTCTCATCGGTGTCTTCTGGAGCTGCGTCCAGCTCTAGTAGAGTCCTACTAGAGCTTCGTGCATCTCTGATAGAATCCTACTAGAGCCGCGTCCAGCTCTGCTAGAATCCTACTAGAGCTGCGTGCAGCTCTGACGGAATCCTACAAAACCTGCGTCCAACTCTACTCGAATTCTTCAGAGCTGCGTCCAGCCCCAATAGAATCCTACTAGAGCTGCGTGCAGTCCTCGTAGAATCCGGCTAGAGCTGCGTCCAGCTCTCATAGAAACCTACTAGAGCTGCCGAGGGAGTCCCACCAGCCCTCTGGGCGACAAATGGTCTAACGAGGGCCTTTTTCCTCTCCCACAACCCATGCTCTTGTTTGGGGGCGGAACCCTTCCCCCCCCCCACCCCTGAAAATTAGTGTTTTTTTCGGGAGGGAGGTTCCGCGATGTGTCAGGGGTCACTTGTTCGGCCATTGGGAGGGCCATTTTTTGCCACCCCCCGCGAGCAGCGCAGTGGCACCTCTGTGAGAATCCAATCTCCTTTTCCGACAAGCATCTCTCTCTTGATGCAGGCTATGATCAAGCGGTCGTCGAGAAGTACCTGCCACCCGGAACTGTGTCCAAGAGCGACAGCGAGAGAGAGAGAGAGGGAGAGACAGGGGATAGAGAGAGAGAGAGACACAGGCAGAGATGTAGAAGGATAGATAGACCGACCGAGACAAAGACAGGGAGAGGCAGAGAGAGAGAGAGCCAGGAAACTAACGGGAGCAAGTGAGATACAGACAAAAAGGACCGGGGCACAGAGACTGAGAGGGAGAGAGAGAAAGAGAGAGAGAGAGAGAGCACGAACCAAATAACAGAGATAAGGAGAACGACAATAACACAGAGAGAGAGAGAGAGAGCGAGCCACGAAGGGGGCACCGTGGGGGGAAAGTGTGAGGGAGCGAGCGAGAGAGAGAACAAGAGAGAGAGAGGGCGATGAAGATGGAAGGGAGGGAGAGAGGGAGAGAAAAAGAGAGAGAGAGAGAGAGAGAACACACACACACACGAACACACACACACACAAAAACAAAGACGAGGGAGAGCGATCGAAGCGGAAAGGTGAGTGCGAGAGAAGGATGAGTGGGGTAGGTGCGAGATAGCGAGAGAGAGCGAGGGATGGGAGAAGAGAGATTGAGATACATATTCATATATGTATATATATATATATAGAGAGAGAGAGAAAGAGAAACAACAACAAATAAATAAAGAAAGAAAGAGAGAGAGGGAAAGAGAGAGAGAGAGAGAGAGCGAGAGAGAGAGAGAGAGCCACCACCGTGCCCCCTGGCACGCTGGGGCGTGCTAGAATGCCAAGTGCTGCCTGGCAGGGTTTCTGTAATTTTCTGAAGCCCCCCCTCCTCGGGAAACTCCCAGGGGCGAGCACAAGCCCTCGTCGTCCCATGGCCAACACCCGTCGCAAAAGAACGACAGTAGCTCCCCGCAGCTGCGAATACATTGGAGGCCCGTCCACAAGAAACCTTCCACAAGAATTCCAACCCTGAGACCCCAGGACGTCCATTGATTTTTGGTGCGGGAACGTCGCGCTTTCCACAGCAAAACCATCGAAACCCGAGAAACCCAGGGCACCCTGGAGGCAAGCGAAGTGTTTCTTGGCATGGGCCTCCACTGTAAGAGTGAGGGGGCGCGCGGACGTCGGCAATCGGCGAGGCTCTGAAGAAGCTCGCCGCCAGCGCCACGCATTCGCAAATTAAACAACGAGCCCGCCGCAGCCACTGATTTTTTCGTTGGCACAATGTGGGTGGGTCGCGGGTGGGTCGCGGGTGGGTCGCGGGCGAGGTCGTGGGCCGGGTCGCGCGTGGGTCGAAGGGGGGACGACGACAACAACAGCGCAGCAGCAGCAAGCAGAATCCGCGCCGCGGAGCCCCACTGCAGCTACGCACACAGGGAGAGTGAATGACCGTTCGGCCCCTTCACTTTGACAACAGATTCGCGCTCTCGAGGCCCAGATGCATCCAAGACGGCCAAATGTCGCTACGGCCTCAAGACGGCCCACGAAGCCGTCGAGACGTCACAAGAGAGCCCCAAGAGCCGTTCCACGAGGGCCTCGAGAGGCAACAATCACAGACTTTGTTTAGGTTCTTAGCGTGTTTCGGGGTCTCGCTGTTCTAGCGTCCGATGCCCCAAGACGACCCAAGAGACCACCAGGACGGCCCCAAGACAGCCCAAGAGGCCCCCGACAGGTCCCCAAGAAGGCTCCAGCACGGGCAACCAGACGCCCAAGAATTCCCAAGACGGCCCCCCAAAAAGAACCCAAGTGGGTGAACGCGAGCCGCCAATACGAGCCTTCCGCCCCAAGAGGGCTCAGGAGGCCCCACGAGGGCACCCAAGAGGCCCCCAAGACGCCACCGAGAGGGTCCCGAGAGGCGAACACCACTAATTTCCCAGAGCTGTTTCAATGTTGCTGGTGTTGTTCCGCCTTTTCGGGCTTCCGACGCTCCAAGACGGCCCAATAGACCTCCAAGACTCCTCCGAGACGGCTCAAGGTGCACCTAAGAGAGCTCCAAGACGGCCCAAGATGCGCCCCAGACTGCCCAAGAGGGCCCCAAGGCGGCCCCAAGAGAGCCCAAGATGGGGAACACGAACCAAGAATCCGAGCCATGTGCCCCAAGAGGCCCCCAGCAGGCCCCCATTGCCTTCTCAAAGAGTTGCCATCCAGAATGCTGCGCTAGCACGTTGGCGGAATTACCAGAGACAGCTTGATATAGGAGAGACAAGGAGAGAGATAGAGAAACACAGAGAGAGAGAGAGAGAGAAGGAACAAACAAACAAGGAAGCTGGGCTACGCAGGAAGCAGGGATGGGGGCATCAGGAAGAGCGAAAGGACAAATGAGAAGTCAATTGGTTGTAAAAACACACAGTGGCACGACAAACACCCTGAGATGGGATCGTAATACCGCTTGACGGTCGCGCGCCAGGCTGCGATAGACTGGACTGAATATTGACAAAGACGCGCAAGGGTCTCGAGACAGCCTGCTGCCAAGACAGGGCGCGCAGGAATGCCAAACCATCACGCCTTCCGCGGTCACCAGCTCTTCCTTTTGGAGCTCGGCAGCGCCAGCTCGTGTTAGGTCGGGCATGTCCTCCTGCAGGCGGATTTTAGAGGACGAATGAAAATTAGTCCAGCGATATTCAAAACTAGCCAAAAGTCAAACAATTGTCACCAGCTTATGCCTTTTAAATGAAATATTCCTCATGCAAAGGGACACGCCCGACTTAAAGCTCGTGTGAAAAGGGCCGGCTCAACGCCAAGGAAAGGACGGAGGGCATGAACCGAATCCCCAAATGCCAAAAATACGCGCCGCGGTATCAGAATGCACTGGTGTCCTACAGGCCTCGGAAGAAATTCGCGAACACTCATCCATCTGTCAAGCCCGTTGGCGGTGTGTTGAACGAGCTGCAGTTCGACCGCAGTCTTCCCCGCGCGCGCTAACTTTGAGTTTGGGGGAGAAGGGGAGTGTCCACGAATTGTATCCCTCTACCTTAGCTTCCATCACTGAGCCCCAGGCACGCACTCTTCTCTGGCCGGCGGGGCAGCCCAATGAGAGCCCTGAAATGTTGAGCGACAGCGAAGGACCGGGATGAGAGCGTGCGGGAAATGGTGTGGGAGTGGGGTGAGAGGCGATGCGAGGGAGAAAGGAGAAGAGGAGAAGAGGGCAGGGGAGCATGATATGGAAGGGGTGTCGAAGTATCCGCCAGCGCGCCTCGAGGCACGAGATTGAGTGTCCTCAGGTTTTTCGACAAATCGATCCTCAGCCCTGAATGATTGCGTACGGTGTTTCCCAAATGGAATAACCAAAGAATCGTATCGAATCGTCCACCGCCCCTCCGGAGAGCTACTCCAATCGCTAGACTCACTGACAAACAAGCACAACGAGGCACGTGCACAGCAAGTCGGAGAAACCATCACATCGCGAATGTATCCAAGAAGTCGCAGCGAAACGGGACATGTAGACTACAAAACTCAGTGGCAACCCAGACGGTCGCAGCTGGGACCAGGCAGTGCGCCCGTGAAACTGGCAAAAATACTTTGAGGAGGAGGGACTAGACAGAAAGGAGACACGGGACAGCGTGGAAGCCAACGGACGGCTGCCACGCGCATCATCAGCGTAAACACCATGGCGCAAGACAGAACAAACAAAAACAGCAATCGCAAGAGGAGGGGCGAGGGGGGGCGACCTTTCGGGCAGTTATTCGCAAACGCGCACGACCATATTAGTTTCACGCGCCGCCAGCCTCCAATTATGACCAAATCACAGGAATGATACAGAGCGCAGGGCGGAGGCAATCGAAAACAGATGCCGAATAATATTGATTCCAGGAAGTGCCACCCCGCCCCGCCACCGCTTCGCGCGGAGGGCATGCAAGCTATGACGTGGCAGATGGCGCGAGTCCAGTGCAACGAACCCAATTGCCAGATTTCTTGGGGCGTGGAGCGTGCTTTCAGGGGTTTCCTGCAAACTGTTTCGGGCTTATGGCATAATCATTCCTGAGGCCTCAAGGCGGCCCGGGGTGCCCCCCAGAAGCCTCGACAGGGTTCCCAACAATCTTTTTTTTTTTGTTTTAAAAAAAAAAAATCTGGGCCGATGACGACCGTCATCTTGGGGGGGGCGAGGGGCCCGATGACGTCACGTTTCGCGCGGGCGGCGTCTGAGAATGCGTATGAACAGCCGAAACCGGGTAGCAGCTGCATGTCGGCGGCGATGAGCACTGCACAGCAAGTGTACACCACAGTGCTCGCGAGTACCACAGCGCCTGTGTACATCACACCGCCTGTGTACGCCACAGCAGTCGCGCGCGTGCAACACAGCGCCAGTGTGTGCCACAGCGCCTGCGTGCACCACAGCGCCTGCGCGTGTACACCGCAGCTCGTGCGTACACCACATCAGCCGTGTGCCGTACAGCACCAGTGTACACCACAGTGCCTGCGTGCCCCGCAACGCCTGCGTACACCACGGCGCCTGTGTGCACCGCAGCAACCGTGTGCGACAGAGCACCACGATTGTATAGACAAGGTTAGAACACATCCCTCTGACAAAATGGAGCGCCTGTGGATCCCACTGGAAACACTTGTTTACTATAGGATTTGGGGGGGAGTCCTGATGGAAAAAGGAGCACCGCTCGAATCTACGAGTCCATCCGAATCTTCGCGTATCATCGTGCCCTCTCCGATATGCGTCCAGAAGGCTCCTGCTAAATTGGCCGTCCGAGAGCCAAGTGAACTGATTCAACAGACCACTCTGCGGTGCACGCTGAGATGCGCACGTGCGCTGTAGCGCCGACCTGCACGACGGGGGGAAGGGTGAGGGAGGAGGAGGAGGAGGAAGCGGAGGAGGAGGAGGCAGGAGGGAATAACATCGCATTCAATTATCACCACTTCCCTGGCGCGGTGGTTAGCTGACCAGCGCTGCGTTGCACGCGGATGCTGTAGCGTACACAGGCTCTGTGGCGTGCAAAGGGGCTGCGGTGCACGCAAGCATTGTGGTGTACACAGGCGCTGTGTTGCACATGGTTGCTGCGGTATACACATTCGCTGTGGTGAAC